CTCCCCCATCCCGATCGAGACGGCCCTGATAAGAGTAAGCACTGTGCTTACCACCGATGCGCCGGGCATGATACCGAGGAGTGTACCCACCTGCGCCAATTGTTGGAAGATTTGCTCAATTTGGGAAAATTGGACAAGTGCGTGGGGAAGAGAGAAGAAAGCAAGAGGAGTACCGATCAGAGTTATCACAGGCGATCTCATCACCGCTCCGATCGGTCGGGTCAGGACCGAAGAGACGATCGAAGGGACGATCGTCACGATGACCGACGGGACCCTGACCCTCCGTCCGGTAGCCGTCCGGCCGGCAAGCCCACCATCCATGTCATATTTGGTGGCCTAGAAGACGCTTCCCAGCCGAGGGCGAATTGCCCGGTTGCGATTGTGGATTCCCGAGAGACTGGGAAAAGACAAAAAATGGAGCCCATAACCTTCACCTTAGAGGACCAACCTAGTAGCAGTGACCACGGCATGGAAGCGCTCGTGGTCACAATCGACGTCAAGGGAACGGACGTCCAGAGGGTTATGGTGGACACGGGTAGCAGTGTGAATGTCCTATACTTGGACGTGTTCGAGAAGCTTGGCCTTGACAGGAAGGAGCTGACTCCGGTCGGTGTACCACTGTCGGGATTTACCGGGGCCCTCATTTACCCCGAAGGCAAAATCACTCTCCCGGTCGAGGTCGGCACCCCCCGAAGTCGATCAAGACAGAGCTTGAGTTCGTTGTGGTCAACCTCCGTTGCGTCCACAACATCATCCTAGGCCGACCCGCCATCATGAAGATCGGTGGGATAATTTCCATGCCCCATCTCTGCATGAAATTCCCCACCCCAAATGGGGTCGGTGTAGTCCGTGGCGATGTCCAGTCCGCCCGGAAGTGCTACACCCGAGCGGTCAACAGACGCGATTCCGGTCCGTCTTCCCGAGTGAACACTATAGCCAAGGAGGAGGCTAAAGAACGGAAGGAACAACCCGAACCTTCCGAGGAGATAGAAGAAGTTCCCCTGTCCGAGGACCGCCCGGATAGGAAGATTAAGATTGGCCGAGCCCTCACCCCCGAGCTCCGAGCGGAGGTTCTGAGCATACTCAGGGAGTATGCTGATATTTTTGCGTGGGGACCTGAAGACATGCCCGGGATCGATCGATCGGTCATTTGCCATAAGCTAGCCGTCGATCCCGCAGCGAGGCCGGTCGTGCAGAAGACACGACACCTATCTTCCGATCGCCGCGAGTTTGTCAGAAAGGAGGTCAAGAAAATGGCGGCGATCGAGCACATCCGCCCGGTTATTTATCCCGAGTGGGTGGCAAACATTGTTCTAGTTCCAAAGCCCCCAGCTTGGAGGATGTGCATAGACTTCACGGACCTTAACAAGGCCTGTCCGCTCGACCCGTACCCGCTACCAAGCATTCATCAAATGGTCGACGAGACGGCCGGGGCCGAGTTGATGAGCTTCATGGATGCCTTTAAGGGGTATCACCAGATTATGATGCACCATGAAGACGAAAGCAAGACAGCCTTCGTGACCCCGGACGGGCTGTATTGTTACCGAGTGATGCCGTTCGGCCTCCGGAATGCAGGAGCGACCTATCAGAGGATGGTCAATATGCTCTTCGCCGATCTATTAGGCCGAACGATGGAGGCTTATATTGATGATATGCTGGTCAAGAGTCGGGACCGATCCGACCACACTCGAGACCTCCGGGAGTGCTTCCAGATCATGAGGAAGTACCAGTTGCGGCTGAACCCGACCAAGTGCACATTCGCGGTTCAGACCGGCAAGTTCCTTGGCTACATGATGACCAAGAGAGGAATTGAGCCCAACCCGGCCAAAGTAAAAGCGATTCTAGACATGCAACCCCCCTCCACCGTTCGGGAGGTCCAGCAATTGACCGGTCGGTTGGCAGCCCTCAGCCGGTTCCTCTCCAAGTTAGCCGAGCGCGCTTTACCTTTCTTCAAGGTATTGCGAAAAGTTAATGGGTTCGTCTGGGACGAAGAGTGCCGAGCAGCTTTCGATGAGCTGAAGGAGTACCTCATGTCACCTATTGTGCTCTCAAAGCCCGAGCTCGGAGAAGAGCTAGACGTGTACCTCGCCGTCTCCGATCGTGCAGTAAGTGCAGTATTGTGCCGAACTGATCCGGAAGGAGTCCAGCGACCGGTGTACTATGTAAGCCACGCGCTACATGGTCCCGAGCTTCGGTACTCCCGGTTAGAGAAGGTCGTCTACGCCCTCTATACCGCCGCGAAGAAGTTGGCTCCCTACTTCCAGGGTCGAGCAATCCGCGTTTTGACCGATCAGCCGATCGGACCAGTCCTCCGAACCGCTTCATCATCAGGACGCCTAGTTAAGTGGGCGTTAATGCTGACCCAGTACGCGATCGAATACCGACCGAGACCAGCAATCAAAGGTCAGGCTCTGGCAGATTTCTTGGTCGAGTGCACCGCCCGGGATACCCGACCCCCCGAGGTTGAGGATCCCGAGGCCGAGTGGTGGTCGCTAGCTACAGACGGGTCAAGTAGCAAAAAAGGAGCAGGAGGAGGAGTAGTAGTCACGAGCCCAGAAGGATTCAAAGTCTATTTTGCTCTCATGTACCAGTTCCACCCGACCAACAACGAAGCCGAGTATGAGGCATTCGTAAATGGCTTGCAATGCGCTCGGGACTTGGGGGCTGAATACATCCGAGCCCAAACAGATTCTGCGCTCGTGGTCGGGCAAGTTCTCGGAGATTATGAGGTTAACGGAGAACGTCTACAATTATACCGAGACCTCGCCATGGAGAAGCTTGCACAGTTCCGGGGGTACACCGTCCGACACATACCCCGATTGGATAACGCCGATGCGGATATCTTGTCTAAATTGGCTCAAGACGCCCCGGAACACATGTCGAAGATAGCTCGGATCTTGGTGATCCCCAAGCACAGTATCCATCGCCTGCCGGTCAACCCAATCCAACCGGTGGAAGATAGCTGGATCACCGATCTGAAGGAATACCTCGAGCACGGTCGCCTCCCAGACGACCCGCAGCGTGCTCGAAAGGCCAAGCTGAGAGCCCCGAGGTTCCAGGTCTCGAACGGTCGTCTATATCGACGATCGTATGGAGGTCCTCTCATGCGATGCCTGACCGCGTTTGAGGCGGATTTAGTGATGAAGGAGCTTCACTCGGGAATCTGCTCCTCACATCAGGGAGGTAGATCCCTGGCTCGTCGTATCATGGTGATCGGGTACTATTGGCCGTCCCTCCAGCTAGACTGTGAAAAGTTAGCTCGGGAATGTGAGACGTGCCAACTGTACGCCCGGATGCCTGGACGCCCGGCAACGTTCTACCAGCCAGTCACGACCGCAATTCCTTTCGCTAGGTGGGGGGTGGACATCTTAGGCCCTTTCCCTCAGCTTTCCGGTCGGAGAAAATTTGTGATCGTTGCAATAGATTACTTCTCCAAGTGGATAGAGGCCGGGCCTTTAGCCACGATCATCTCTCAGCAATGCGCTCGATTCCTTTGGAGAAATGTCGTTTCCCGTTTTGGCGTGCCCGTACATCTCATCAGCGATAACGGTCGCCAATTTGTGAGCCAATATTTTCAGAATTTCTTGGCCACGATCGGGACGACTCATGTCCGGTCGTCTGTCGCTTACCCGCAGGGAAATGGGCAAGTGGAAAATGCTAACCGGACGATTTTGGAAGGGCTGAAAAAGAAGTTACACTCGGCCGGTCGTAGTTGGGCCGATGAGTTGCCATATGTCTTATGGACTTATCGGACGACCCCGAGGGAAGCTACTTCGGAGACCCCTTTCGCCCTGGTTTACGGAGCTGAAGCCCGGCTCCCGATCGAGGCTTGGATCCCGACCGATCGAGAGAGAACCTACAACGCGGAGGACAATGAACATGCCATGGCTGTGGACCTCGATGCGGTCGAAGAAAAAAGGGAGCTAGCCGCTCGGCGTATGGCCGAGTACCAGAAGCGCATCAAGAGCTCGAAGGACGTCCGGGTCAACCCTCGTTATTTTCAAGTCGGAGATTACGTCTTACGACGAAGGGAGGCCAGTCAACCTTTAGAAGGGGGAAAGCTAGCTCAGAATTGGGAAGGGCCGTACATCATCAACGCTGTCATCCGGCCGGGGACATACCGACTAGAGACAACGACGGGTCAGTTAATAGAGGGGACTTGGAATTCCGAGCACCTCGTTCTTTTTAGGCATTAGCCTATTTTTTGTATTTTTAGACGAAGTGGGGGCTGGACCTGCGAGTTAGTCCCGGTCGTCATTTCTATGTAAATTTTATGGTTGTAAAATTAATTCAACCGCCTGCGAGCGGGAAAGTTTAATGTATATACGATCAATGATTGCTCGACCGTTTGTATGCGGCGACACGATCGGTTATTTTCTTTCAACCTTGTCATCAGCAGATCAGTTCAACGTTCAATCGATCGGGCGGACACATAGGCGGACACTCGAGTCACGCCACCGATCGGGGAAGCCAGGAGCTCTCAGCATTATTCCCCGATCCATCCAACTTCTGTCCACTATCGCACCCACTCGTGCCCTGTGCGCGCAATAGTGTGGGGGCTGGGATAAGGAAGTATAGAAGGCCCGTCGCTCGGTTACATTCCGACCGTAGAGGCTTGAAAATTTTTTCGGCAAAGGCCTGGAGATCGGGTAAACCTGATCGGCTGGCCAGTTTTGAAGTCGAAATATCGAACGCACGATCGGGCCACAAGGTCGTAAGGTCGGGCGTTGAGTGGATCGAGTATCGCGAGACCGGGCCTAAAGGCCAAGTGGTCGAGTGATTGAGGTCAGTATGTGCGAGGTCGGGCCGCAAGGCCGCGAGGTCGAGAGTTAAGGGTCAACGCTTGCGCGGTTAAAGACAAAAGTGCGAAAAGAAAGAACGAGCGACGCAAGATGGAACCAAAAAATAAATTTCATTAACGACCAAAAAGGTGCCCGGTACAAATCGGGACCGGGCTCCCGACTAAGGTCTCTTACAAAAAGAAGGAAAGAAGCCTAAATCTACTTCTTCGCCTCCTGAGCGCCGGCGGTCGCCTCTTTCCCGCTCGGGGCAGCCGCCGACGAAGCCCCAGACTCGGGTACCTTGGCTTTCGGGGTCGGGGTAAAGGGGGAGGGACCGGGATCTGCCACGTCCGAGGGTAAGGCCGACAAGACCAGTTGGAGATCATCAGCGTCGAGGGCCTCCTCCAACCGCTTGCGGATGCGTTCAAGCATTTTCTGCTTCCCGGCCGTAAAGGCCCACTTCCCGAACGAGACGATCAACTCGTTCCCGACCTCGTCTCCTCGGGCTGCTGTTAGGAAGGCCGTGCCCACCTCCTTGTCCTTGAAGGCCGCCCGCACCAGCTCGCTCGGGTTCTCGAGCTGAGCCTTCAGCTCCCGGGCCTCCCCAATCGCCCGGCTGGCGACCTTCTCGGCCAGCACCCGCTCCTCGTCACCCTTCTTCAGGGCCTTCTGCGTTTTCTCCAGCTCAGCCTGGAGTTCCTTGATCTCCTTTAGACGACGAGCAGCCGTCTTCTTGTGGTGATCGGCCTCCTCGGCCAGCAAAGCTTGACCCTGAAGAAGTTGGGTCGCCCGGGAGATCTGCAATACAAAGAAGATAGTCGAGATTAGCCCGATCAACGATATTTGGGCAAAGAAAGATTAAAAGTTGGGACTCACCTCGGCCAGATCGTGGCCAATCCGTTCAGCCACCTGGGTCGGGGTCATCTTTCCCAGATCCGCTCGGGCTGGCGCGGCATTGCCGATCCGTGCCAGCACGGATGTGGGATCCCTCTCCCGCCCGGCCGAAGGGGTCGGGCTGTGCTGCTCGCGGCGGCGCTTCAGGCTGCCCGCCTCGGTCGCGCCCTGGTCGGCGACCTTTTCCTTTCCCCGGGCGACCTCCACCCGAGTGACCAGGACGTCCGGCTGCTCCACGATGAAGCCCTCGCCCGTCGTCACGGTCGAGGCGCTCAGAGGTCGGGCAGATGGGATCTCCTTCTCCCCGGCCGCCTTGGTCTTGGCCTTCTTCTTCCCGCCGAGCGAGATCTTGACGGGTGGGGGAAGGGCGGTGTCTTCGTCACCGAACTCGGCCATAGCTGCAAAACAAGAGCGGAGTTAGTTTGGTCAAGGAATATAGCTAGGTCGGGAAGAGCAGCTCGAGCTAAACCTTTCTTCTTTCGTTTCGAAGGCTTGGCGACCGTCACGCCCATCGGTACGGGCAGGTACTTCTCGCTTAGTTCGTACGTGGGGGGCGGGAGCTTGGCGGCTGTGAGACTCTCGGCCGTCCAGAAGATGGAGTACTCGTGTATTTCACTCGAGATCCGAGTGACCGTGTCCTTGAGCGCCTGAGTCGCGGCCGGCACCACTTGCTTTCTGAAATGGCTGCTCCAAGCGCGATCGACCGGGAAGACCCAGGGCTCGTACTTAAGGGAGAAAATCCTGTTTTTCCACCCCTTGTTGTTCCCGGGCAGCCCCTTGATCGCACACATGTCGGCCCGGGATTGCAGCATCAGGAACCCACCCCCGTAGCGGCCCGGGAGAACCTTGATCTGGTAGATGAAGTTAAACAACTCCATCGTGCACTCGGCCCCGTGCCGAGCGCATATCTGTGGGAAGCAGGCCAAGATCCGGTGAGCGTTCGGGCAGATCTGGGCCGGGACGACGCGGTAATAGGCCAGGAAGGCGTTCAGGAGGGGGGTGAAGGGAATGGCGATCGGAGCCATCAGGGAGTCGTAATGCATCCCGATCCACTTGCCCCGATGCCTGTCGATCACGTTCCCCAGCTGCCGGCTCGTGTCGAATTCTGCCCGACCCCGGAGTGTTCCAGCAATCCGAGCCGCTTTGCCTTTGGTCAGCAGGCTCATCTCTTGCTCGACACTCTCGCTATTCAGGAATTCGAGCTCGACAGCTGGTGTAGCCGGCCCGGCCGGGTCCTCTTCGGTCTGCTCGGGGGTATTTTCTCGATCACCCCCTCGGGGAGCAGCTTCCGTGTGGTCCCCAACCACCCGAGTAGGCGTTTCCCTAACGCCCTCGGTTGGAGAACCCCGCCCGCTTGACGTGGCTCTCTCCTCTTCTTCCTCGCTGGTACTCCCCGATCCGCTCGAGCTTGAGCTTGACGATCCGGAGGAGCTTGATGCGTTGTCTCGCTCGGCGGCTTGCTCGGGGGCTGACGTCGCTCGGGGACTAGCGTCCGGGGTGTAGGACATAATGTCCACTTCCTCGTCGCTGATGTGCTCGACCTCCTCGTCGTAATCAGCAATCGAGGCGTTTTGACTGTCTGAGTCCGTCATATCGATCTACCTAAAGGTCGGTCGGAGTTAGTAGGGACTTGAGGCGTCCGGGACAGTTAGTTGACCTAGCAGTTCTACCTATAAATGAGAGCTTAAAGCAAAGAGGAGGGTTGAGAGTTTACCGATTGAAGGAAGATTGAAGTTTGAAGCTTGAAAGTTGAAGTTTGCTTGCTCGACTGCCTTGCTAAGCTGCTCTGCTCGGGACTCTCTGAGGGTACCGACTGATGCGAAAGAGTGAGGAAAGTTCAAATGAGGGCCTCAAGGGCCTATTTATAGGAGGGAATTTAGGCGGGAAAAGGGCCAACTTGCCTGACACGACCCGCGCTGAATCCGAGGCGACGGATGGGATCGCCGAGGCCGGCAGAGGCCGACACGTGGCGTAGGAGGGAATGACAGCTGGCAGGTCGGTTTGGTGGCTGACGGTTGGGCTTCTTCACCCCGTCCCATTTTTTTCCGATTGATCAAAAAGGCCCGGGCTGGGGGGCTCTTGGTAGGGAATATCCCGACCGACATAGCTTCACCACGACCAAGTGCACTTTTGTCCTTTTCTCTCTATCTTTGCAGGTAACAGGTCGGGCTCCGTGAGAAGAACCCGGTCGGGTTCCGACCGGGAGTTACCCGAGCGATGGTGTCAACCCGAGCGGTAGTCCTTCGGCGAGGGAGCTGATTAAAGACACGTGGCGGCTCTCCACATCGACAGGCAGGGCACCCAGGAGGATGGCACGTGGTGGCTACGTGGAAGACATGCCGAGCGGCTGGGATCTTGTCTCCGGCACAGCGGCTATAAGTACCCACAGTAGCTACAGTGTAGGGGATTTTTGGACGATTGATAGGTTGTAACTAGAGACTCCCGACCGCAGTCAGTCGGTACTCAGTGCAACCAAGTAGATTGTACTTAGGAACTCTGCCTTGATCAATAAAGAATTACTTGCTTTACTTGGTCTTGTGTTATTTATATTGCTTACGTAGAATTAGCAGTATCAGATATGAAACAAATTAAAGAAAATGGACATACAATTACATTTTGAATAACATGAAAATTGTAGCAAGCCAGCAACATCATAGCTAACTTCTCTCAAAAGGTTGAATCCCCACTCCCAGCCCGACAGAATACTTGGGAGGATGTAAATCATAGTAAATCAATGACTCAGCAGACATGATCAAATACCGGTGCGCATAAGAGATCTGTCCACTTTGGGCATAATCCTCACACTACCACTGTCGAAGTTTGAACATTGATTTCTTCTCCCAAATACTGCCTACATACTAAATCATTGAGCTAAATGCGTGCAAGCAACATCTTAGCTAACTAAGGATAGGGAAATCTATAGTTAAACTAATGTTATATTCAATTACAAGATTCTAACAGATATGGACATATACAATATAATACTATAGTCCTGTTGTCAGCTAACACTGTCATGGCAAAAAATCATCAAATTAATCCAACTTTTTTAATGAGATTTTGGAATTAAAGAAATGTTTGGAAGTGCATTATTGGTCACATCCTTCCAAAACTGCATCATGGGTGCATGGGCAACTCATAAACCATGATTAGATCCTAAAATCTGGAACCAACTCCACTTGTTATTTTATCTGTTTCCACTAATATTGGCCCTTCCAGAATAAATAATTAAGTATATATTAATTAATTAAAAAAATTATAAGCTATGTCATACATGTTTTGACTGTTTTCTATATATGTAGGCAGTACGTCCTAGTTGTGAATGATTATATAATCTTCCTAACTTTCCAGGCTTTATTATTGTGATTATTGTGTTACTCTTTTGGTATCATTTATAGTCACCTATGATACCCACTGCAAATTTATTATTAAAAAGATCAATATATATTGTTAAAGATGAATAGGTTTGGATTAAATGATACTAGCTAATTGGGATTAGGATGAGACATGGCTCAATAAGTAAATTTTTTTTTATTGGATAACATATATGGGTCAATTGAGAGGTGGGTCAATTGAGACTTGAGAGGTCACTATAAGATAAAATTGACAAGTACCCTAAAATGAAAAATAAGTTCGGTATATAATCATCTTAAGAATAGTAACAAATTAACAATTTAGCAGTGTGGATATGTATAAAAAAAAAACTAGAATATAATATTTTGAATAGTTGTATTGAATCATTAATCCAATCACCAACATATATTTAACTAATTAATTTAATTTTTCACTTTTTTTCAATTGAAAATTTATATATATTTTTTTATGGCACCATGCTGCGTGTTGCTTGGGTAATTTCTAGTGGCACCTACTCCCATAGTACTTGCCGTGTATGAAGTACAACTTTGAACAGTACACAACTACACCACATGATACCACAAGCTAAGGGACATCATATATTATTATTCTAACATTTACATTAATTAATTCAGTAAACACAAATCCCACGTTAAAAAAAATATAATTTTTTTTTTTATCAAACCCCAATCTTATCGGACTACGTGTCGTTCCACTAGAAGTTTACAGATGTAGCAATAAATGCAATTCATTTTTGCTATGGAAAGTCTAAAATTTATTCGTTTAACCAATTATTATTATTATTATTAAAATTTTAATAATGGTGTGTGCGTATGGTTGTTTGCACCAGCCAATCATATCCTAGTTACAATACCTAATGTTGAAATGGTAATCATATTTTTTTAAAATAAAATATAAATATAGATTATTCATAATATTGGATTTTGGTAAATAGCTGTTAGCTGATCGAGTGGGTTAGTGAGTTTGATTAGTTGATATAATTAGTTGATTGTAGAAAGATGTTTAGTAAATTAACAGTTAAATAATAACTGATTACATACAAAATGACTTTCTCAAAAAAATTCATTGAAAAAATCTATTTTAAGCAACTTTTTGAATTTTAGTGTTTTAGAACAATAAGTTGTTACAAAAAATTTACTCCGTATTAATTAAACAATCATATTAGTTTTAACCAAGTCAAACAGCTAATAATAATCAAATAAGTTAAAATTGACTGACTGAATAATTATTTTATCAAATAGGATCATTGTTAGGTGAAATTCTTGTGAAAACATTTGACGTGAGGTTGAAGTTGGTGTCAAGGTCTATGACCGACCAAACATATTTAATAATAAATTTTAAAAAATAAAAATTAAATAGTACGATACAACTAAGTCAAAGCTCCACGCTGTTTGATGTGTGTATTCACGGCCAGAGAATTCCTTGAGAATTAATGGATTAATTCAAGACTTTTTGTTCTCGAAGAGTGGGAATGGAGGAATGTGTTTATAAGTAAGAAAATAATTATTTTATTTTTCTAGAAAGAAACAAAAATAATAATACATTTACTTGTATATTTTTTTAATGTGTAAAATAGATAATGAAGACAAAAACTAAAAAATTAAAGTAAATTAAATAAAATCGAGATGTCGTCTAGTGCACTAAGATCATCTGTACAATTTTTTTCAGGAGAAGAGAGATCAGAAGTTATTAATGGTAAAAATAATTGACATCTCTTTAATATAAAGTTTTAAATTGGTTGTGACATTTTATTAATTTAAATAACTTATTGGCCACCATGTGAAAAATAAGTCAAGTTAGTCTATTCAAAGGTACGATATAGGTATGGGTTGAATCATTCTTTGTTGCATTGAAATTTTGGCCGTGACCTTAAGCATTTTCAAATAATGCATGTGTTGTTTAGTAATGTGGACGGTGACTTACCTATAACTAAATTAAATATTTTAATTTCAACTTCAAACACGTATTAAAATTATAAGAGCTTTTACAATGTCGATCGAGTTATCACTGCACCGTGTCGGAATTTCAAAATAGTAGAACTTTTATTTAATGAGGCTTAAAGTAAAATTTGATGTGGATCAAATTCGTTAATTTAGTCATTTGGCAACCTGACATTGTGATCTAGTGGTATGAAGTGACTCTCTCAAATGTAAGGTTATTGATTTGAGTCTCAGTGAAGGCGATATTGACTCTTTGTGATTCAGTAGGTTGAGAAAGTAACTATGAACAAATACTACATTATAAGAGTAAGTAATATTCAAAAAAAAGAAAAAAAAAACTATTAAACCACATATTTAACCATCTTAATTTCATAATTTAATTCAACTGAGCAGGTGGGGTGGCCCAACACAACTAGTAACAAAATATTTGGAAAAAAAATCTAATAGTGAAACGTGAAAATGATACATAAAGAATTTTTTTTTTTTCTACGAATATTTTTTTTTTTTTAAATAACATTTTCCTATATTTATATGAAATAATAACTTAATCTTTTTTTATTATTGATATGAATCTTTTTTGCCCTCTATTTTTTTTTTTATATATTTTATAAAATGGTGATTTTAGTCTCATTTTTTATAAGGTGGCGAGTTTCGTCCCCGACCAATTATGAAAAACTTTAAGGGCATGTTTGGTTCATGGAAAATATTTTTCAAAGAAAGTGTTTTCAATTTCTTGAATTTGAGAAAAACTAGATTTTCCTTTGTTTGGTTCATGGAAACCATTTTCCATAGTCCCCCCTTGATATTTTGTTTTTCATGAAAAACAAATAGGACAATTATGTCCTCACCAACTTTTATTAATTACCATTATTATTATTGTTGTTATTATTATGTAGAGATATAATTGTCTTTATACTCATTACTTACAATTTCAAAATCAACCAAACAATGGAATCAATATTTTCAGTAATTTATTTTCCGCCAACCAAACAATGTAATTAATTTTCTCGGTAATTTCTTTTTCCATGAAATTTCAATTTCATTTCCCCTCAAATGTTTTTCGCAAATCAAACGGAGCCTAATTGTCTAGAACAACAATTTATAATTTTGTATCTATATTGACTGCTTCACAATTCACACAAACACAATGGAATGGTTGTAGATTTTATTGGTCGTTGGCCGCACATGTTTAGTTC